GTTCAGAAGGTATTTCAGTGCTGATCTAGTTATGATTTGAAGTTTCAATATGTGCTATACAAAGTCCCTATTTAAAACAATCCACAACATTTGTATATTAAAAAGAAGAGTAGGATTTATGTTTCGTCTGTGTCCACTTATTTTATTACTGCCCATGCTACCAAGTATCCTGATCTGGGAGTCTGTACTTGTCCCTCCAGTCTAAAGTTGCAATAGTTCTTTTTTTTTTTTTCAGGACATTTAAGCTGATGCACTGTCAAACAGCAGAAACTCCCTTTTTCATACATAGCGTGAAGCTGCCAGTACAGAAGCCTGACATCTTTAGTGTTAATCCAAAAGTTTTTCTTTGTCATAAACAATTAATTAATTTGCATTGCTGGCTGAATTTAAGATGGAAAAAACTCTCTCTCCTGCCATCAAAGTCTTTTGTTCGAGCCTAGTTTGTAATCTCTTTACTAATGCTCTGTGTGAATCTGGGCATATACAAAACATATCCATGGATAACACATATAATGTTTAAACAGTGAGTGTGTAAAGAACTCAAAAGCATTCCCGTAATGACATCAACAAATAGAGTGCTTGTATGGACTTCTGAAAGCCCTTGGCCTTGGTAGGAAAGGTGTGTGTATGTATAACTTCATTTAAGGTGAACGTAGAGAAGGAGAAGGAACAGTTTCCTCCCGGTGGACTCTCAGTGAAGAACTTTCAACTCTGAGAGCAAGTCAGATCTTCTGTAGGGAGGATTTAAAAGGCAGATGCCTGATAGGTAGAGTTTTTCTAGAGTTGGTTAACACTTAAATCCCGTGTTCTTTCATCCAAGCTCATAATTACTGTGGGACAATAGGATTGGCTGTCATAACAGCTTTCAGTAAAGCTTGGTGGCAATAGTGTTAATTTCAGTGACTGGAGGTATTTTTGGAAATGACATCAAAAATGTGTTCCTCATACCTTTAAATATAGCATCATTAAAATAAAGCCTGCCTTTCCTCTCCCTTGCTCTTGTGTCCTCTCTGTGCTCATTAGCATTTTATGACATTTCTGTTTGGGATCTTTTCAATCTTGCCAGCAGTGGATGTGGCTCCCAGTAAGGAAATATACCGTGTAACTTAAATGACTAATAGAAGTGGGCCATAACTCAGAATTCTGTTTCAATTCAAATATTATCTTAGGATTTTTTTTTAAACTATATTTTTAGTGGATGTAAACAAGCCTTATTTGTTTCTAATCAATATTTCTGACTCTTTGGTTGTTTTGAGAATGTGCTTCTGATGAGACTGTATGGTTTTCCAGACCATGTAAACTCAGGCAGCTACAACCGTCAGAAAGAGATGAGCCTTAAAGAGAGATCTTTGAGAAACTTTCCACAGAACTTAGCCTAAGTGATTTGGAATGAGAGAGAATTTAATTTCAGGATATCTTTCAAAAATGAAACTGTGAATGACATCAATTTAATGCGCAGTATGGGCTACTTAGGGTTTTCCTAGTGTTTTGCAAGTTACCTGAAAAGTACCTGCTTTTCTTCAAAGTACATTTTGAGGTCTCTATATAGGCTGTGTGTTGTTACATAAATGAAATAACTTAAATACTAATTATATTTTCTGTGATGCTGGTCGCAGCAAGTATAATCTAGTCCAGTCTCCTGCTCTTTGTTAGATAGGTATGTTGAAAGAATTGAAACACTGATTTTATGTCTTCCTAGTTTGTTTAGATGTCACTGGAAGCTGCTTTCCTGTAAATAGTTAACTCAGTTCAAAGCTGGTCAAGTTCAAAGACTTCCTTCTCTTAGTATCTGCTCCTGATTTATAAAAGAAATTTATACCTTTATAGAAACATAGCCTCTTATAACATACTAAACCAGGGTGTCACAAAGAATGATGACTACTCCAGGTGGTCTAGAACAGTAAGAGCTGTTCACAGCATGATAATTTTGCATCAAGGGTCCAGGCTGCTTACAATAGTGTTTTGAAGAGAGAGATTTATAATATCATGAAAAACATTAGTGCTCCAAGCTATGCGTTTTGCTGTGTATGAAATACTTCCGTAGCTTTTACTTAAACAGAAAGGCATGATTTGATACTCTGTAGAAGATGGTCTTAATTCTTAATTAATTAAGATTATAAATAAGTTATAACTTTACAACTTATAACTTAATTCTGCCTTTAAAAGTGAATCTCTAAAATAAAGGCTGTTGCAAAGCAATGTTTCCTGTAATGGGTTTCTTAAAACTGCAGAATTTTCCCTCCTGGAAAGAACAGTTGAAGGGATTGAGCTGAGATAATGAACACTTCTAAAAGACATACTAAAAACATTATGGATGTCTGTGAAGTAGAATAATGTATATGCTCCATCAGACTTGAGAAGTAGTAAATTTACAGTCTACATGAAGCAGGACTCTCATGCGATACACAGATATTTTGCTGAGCTTTTGAAAGTAATCAAGCCAGTACTGTGACAGGACTTTTAAAATTAAGCTGACTAGCCCCCATTCCTTGTCTCTTTACAGGAAAAACATATTTTTAGTGGAGTAACTTTTTAGCTCTAGAAACAAATTACTTTTTTGTGTTTTATCAGCATGTCATTTTGATTTATTTGCAGATCCCTACAAATTTTCTAGTTTTGATAATGGTGCCACGTTTATTGACTTAAGCCTAGTGACAACAGAATTGCGTTCCTGAGGTTCCTTATGTAGATTGTCTGAAAGACTGAGGATTCCCAAGGAGACCGCTGTCTCATTGCCTAGACTATGAGATTCCCTATGAATATATTTTTCAGTTACTGGCAGTGAGAAAGCAGTACTATTAAAATCATGATTTTTTGGCAAAGCAGTGTATTTAATTCTCATGCTTCCTCCTCAAAGTACAAAGTCAATTTGTACTGCCTTTACAAGTTGAATATGCCACAGATTCCAAACACAGAAAAGGTAAATAAATCAAGTTCCAATGCAAATTTAACCTATTAAGAATGGTAATTTACTTTCAATAAACCCATGCTAGGAACCTTCCTGCAGTTTGTTTCACGTTCATCATGTGTTACCAGTTTATTACTACTTTAACTGTAGGATTTGTTTACATCTGCTAAAGATGCAGGGAGAACGTTGGAAGGTTTGGGGTTTTGTTTTGTTTTGTTTTGTTTTTTCCCCTCAAGTCATGGTTGCAAGTGGAATAGTCCATGTGACTTTAAGTGATGTTTCTTGGAAGATCTAATGCAGACAACCAACCTGAAGATGCAGAAAACTAACCTTTAGAGAATTCCTTGGAATTCTGAAAATTCTAGGTTATTTGGAGTTCTACTCTGAATTCCTGCTCCTGAGTCCTACTGCAATGGAACTGTAAAATACAGATGTTAAGCACTGAGAAACGGAGTCAAGTGGGGAATTGTGTGGAAGTCAGAGTCTTAAATTTCCTAAAGAATTGCAAAGTCTCTATGCTCCAGTAGGCAACCTGCTGTTCTGTTCTTGGTAGCCTGACTAGTTATTACTTTGTTTCCCTGATGTCTCATGCTATTCTTACATTGGGTTATAAAACATTGTAAATAAGAAAAGCAATAGAGGGCTGAGCCAAGTTCACAGGTTAGGAGTTTTATAAGCACGTTTACATATAGTAGTCTCCAAAATCTATGTAAAGAGAGTAGCAGGGACACGAACCTTACTATTTCAACATGAAATTTCATTTTTCCTGTTACACGCATTCCTGGACCTCGCTTTCTAAAATGAGTAAAATATCAAAACTCTCATTTCCCCAAGCTTCCTCACAGCTTTTTGTCGTTGATCTGTTGGTGAGGATCCTTACCACATTATACAAAAAGAAACTTGCCTAACTCGAACCTTTAAATGTAGGAGGTAAGAAGGAAGGTTGTTTCTTTGCATCTTTTCTCTGCCCCTTTAGAGGACCATGTTCAAATAGTATATTCAAATTACTGTGTCCCCAGTCTTAACAATAAATCCTCTTTGCATGGAATAAGTGACTAAATGCAAATCTGTAAGTACATGTCTGCTAAATCCAGAGTAACTGTAGCTCTTCTGTTAAACTTTAACTTCATCCGTCTGATATGAAACCACTGATTAAACATGTTATGCGTTCACATTCACTTTTTAAGGCTCTATTAGGTTGCTGAAGTGCAGTATGTTTCTATAAATAGGAGATCTCTGCAGTCACAGACTGCAGGCTTTGTTAGCCTTTGCAGATCTTGATCCAAAAATAAGCTGATGAAACAGATGGGGAAGTGGGAAGCTGAAATTACTAAATGGAGAAAATGAAAGCTTTTGGGTAATCCTCACTGCAAACTTTCATGCTTCAAGCGTTTAATTTCCTTTGAATTGAAATTTAAATCTCAATTTTCTTATGGTTCTGTATTTGTAATTTTGGTGTTAGAAGCTTTTTACACTTTGTTTTTTGTAAATTTGATGATGATATTAAAGGAAAAGTCAAATGCCTTTTCTTGGTCATACTAAGATTTATAAATCAGTGAGCTGTCGTTAATAAAACAAAGGATTTGATTCTGCTGCTGCCAGTAGAGGATTATAACAGATGGACAATACAGAACAGACAATTTTATTAAATAAAAAAAGTGAGGGGGTGGGGGGGAACTTTGTTCCTTGCAACCTGATAATAAATTTTATTTGTCAGAATATGCTAGTGCCTGTTTAACCATTACAGAAATATTTCTGTTTGCTTTCACAGAGATAAATGGTGTTGAAAGAAGTTTTTAGTATTGTTAAGCTCTGTCATCACTGTACAGTTCAGCTGTTGTTTTCTATTCATGAACCTTGTTAAACAAAAATATGTTGTCATTTTGAGCTGGTTCTTTTGTTTTGGTCAATTTAAAAACTACAAGAGTAAACTTAGTGTCATCTTCTAGGCTTGTATATTCATCTGATATAAATCTTAAAGAAGGTGAAGAACTAGCTATGATGAAAAAAATATTGGGAACCAAATTAATACAAGAAAACGAGACTGTTACTCTTCAAAATACTCAAATAACAAATGTAAATTGTCTTGGAGATGACAAAAGAACAACTGTTGAACAGAATTCTCTAAGTGGAGCTATGCCAAAAGAAGTTGCTTGTTCACCTTGTATTGAAGAAGAAATTCCTGGAGTCGATGCAGAAAGCAATAAAGCTATGGCAGGTGGGTTTGGAATTATATTTGTTGTTTTTTTTTTTTAAACTAATTATCCAAAAACTGTTAATGATGTGAAAACATGGGGAAAGGTTATAGCTATTGCTATAACGCAGCTAATATGGATATTCTTTACTATGGTCCACTTTGTTCTTTCACACCTTGAAAAAATGAATTGCTTTAGAAGTTTGGCTGGAACAGATCCCAGACCAGTGGAAACTTGACAGCATGTCACGCATTAGGCATGTAAATCTGCACTGTGTCCAATTTTTAGTTTGTAATTCAGCAAATTACAGGACTTGACTCCTGAGAGCATGAAGCTTCCATAGTATGTAATTTCTCCATTTCTTTCCCTTTTTAGCAAAATTATACTAGTTGCACTGTTTTTTATTTTGAAGATTTTGAAATCTTTCAAAATCTTTCAGAATCTTCCCTTCTACAGCTGTAAGTAACATTAGGCAACGTATAACTGCATCTACACCACAGGTGTTGGCTGCTACAGCTGCGTCAGTAAGATATGCAAAAAGGTAGGATCAAGCAACATAGCAGTTCAGGCAGAAGCTCGTAGCATTACATGACCCTAAATTTCTTCAGAGTCTACTTTTCTTGAACCAAGAGGTATCATATCTCTGCAGAAAAACGAACTGGCTGCATAATCTTGTAAAAGAGTACGTGTAGCACTCTTCTTCCATTGATATCAAATGTGAAGCACTAGTCACATTTCCAGTATCTCAGTTCAAAATGCAAGTAGAATGCATTTTCCATTGCTGCGTCTGAAAAGCCTTTCAAGAAAAGTTCTAGCTTGAATATGCCATGTTATAATTTTTTATGATAGCAGCTTCTTCTGTTCAAATAATTTAAATTATCTGTACCCTGACAATAGTTTAGTCTGTACTGGAAGAACTGAAAGTAACTATTTCCTCTGCCATCTGCAGATAATTCCAAGCTAGAAACTGCATCTGTATTAGGAGAAGACTTAGTGATGCTCTACAAGAAGTGTTGTTGTCCAGATATTACTATTTGCATAGAAGGCACAGACTTTCAAGCTCACAGGTACATACATTAAGTATTTCAGTAGAAATCATTTTAAAATAAAAACACTGCTGGGACCATCTATCTAGTAAATTATTCCTGATGCTGTTCTCTAGGTGTGAACTGCTCTATTTTTTTCAGGTTTTATCATCAGAGGTGGACATACTTTGCTACTAATGAAATTTTTTTTTGTTATCTGCAATGATTATAGTGCTTTTAAGATTTTTGTTGTGCACATATATAACTATAAACTTGTGTATAAACACTGTAGTTTTCTTTGCTAACAGTTTTAAATAATTTGTGCTCTCTGAAGAAGGCAAAGAATTGTAATTAAACTTACACATGTGCTCTGAATAAAATTACAATATATGTAGAAATATTCTGGAGTTGAAATATTTTTTCCGCTCTTCAGAAGCGGTGCACACAAAATCTGATTTTACTTCGATTACTTCAGTAAAGCAGATGTAAAGATTGTTCTTCTCTCTTCAGAGAGCACCAGTTCCAGACCATTTAAGAATCATGATTTCTAGCTGAGAAAGCAAATTAAAGGAGCAATATCCTTTTCTTCTTACTTGTATGTTTGATATCAGTCTGCTGTAATGTTTGTATTTGAGATAGCAAACTGGAGAGCTTATTTTTTGTTCATATTGTGTATATATCTAAAACTGAGAGAGCGGATCAAAAAAACCCTATTATCTTCAGTATTTTCTCAATGCAAATCCATGGGAGGGGGTTATATTAATTACATTACAGATATCTTTACAGATCATATGGGAACATAGTGATTAAAATGGTGAATCTGTTTTTTGTTTTGTTTTTTAATAATAAGATTAGGATAGACGCAGAATCTCCAAAGTGGAGTGTAGTTGGGCATGGCACTTTTCCCTCTGGTCTACACTATGAGGACACTTAGCTCCATAGTTTTGAGAAACAAATACTTCAGTGCAAAAAGAAACTCCACAAAAATATTCAATCAGCAGAGCTTCTTCAGTTTAGGCCACTTACTGCCTGGACCAATGTATCTAGTCTAGCTAGAATAAAATATATGGCAGGAAATCATAGAGTAAACAAGGAAGTTCTGAAAGTCTGCAAGACTTGATTGTTTCAGCACCACATCATGTGAACAGTAGGAGTCAATAAAGGGAAACTAACTTTGGGTATAATAGTGGTGAAAGCACCCATGTGATTTATTTTGAGGGGGTTTTTGGGAAGTTCTCAGACTGGAGACAGTAACATAAGCAGTGTGTGTTTACATGCATGCATATCTCAGTAGTCCTTAAATTTCCATTAAGTCCTATAAACTTCTAAGAGATTTTGTAAAGTGTAAGGAGGAGTGATCTGAGAAAGTTGCAAAGTTATGTCTCTCTACTTAGCAACGTGTTCAGTAAAAAACTTGTGGCACAAATCACGACAATAGGAAAGTACAGATAAAAATTTACTTCAGGCTTCAAATGCACTTGATCTCCATGTTTTTTATAAATTATTTTATCACTGTTGTATGTTTAAGTAATACATACTTGTCAGTAGTATGAGTCGCCTTCTTAATTTAAAATTTTTGAAATATCCACTTCAACTGTGCTTAGCCTTGTAGTTGATCTAACCCTATTCATTACTAAAACTTCTTCGGAAGAGAAAGATAATATTGGAGATGCTGTATTTCACATCTTCATGATACTGTATTACTGTACTTCGTAAGAACAAGAAAGTGAGTGTGCTTGTAAATTCAGAATTTCACATACCTAAAGCTGTGATGTAATACTCATTTAAGCGTGGATATATTTAACTCAGATATGAAGCATTCTTAATTATTAATTATTGCTGGCTGAATCTTTGGAGCAATGTGTGAGAAGTTTCAAATTTGAAGTATTGAGACTTTTTAAGAAGAAAGAAGGGAGAGTTATGAGGCATTCAAAGTACATATGAATGCAAAAGAGAGGGTAAATAACATTCTTCTTCCTACACAAAAATGAGAGTGCTCTGAAATAGTCGGGGAGCCAATAAATATAAAACATGTAAAATAAAGTACTCCCATACAGGTTTCTTTTTTTTTAAAAGAACACCACATTGCTTTTTTCTGCTACAGAAAACAAAGTAATTTTATAAATAATCAGAAACTTTAGAAGTATCAGAAAAAACTGGTATGTATGAGAATATCATCTATAGCTACAGTAAGCCAGATAAAATGTATAAAGGCTGACACTATAACTGCAGTAAATTCGGGAGGCTAAAATCAAAAGCAGTTTTCATTCACTATCCTCTCCTGTTTCTACCTTAAGAAAAGCAGCTCCTGTTTGGAAGGTTTCTCAGCTCTTTCCTGAAGAATCTGACATTGCTGAGCTAGATAAACTACTGGCTTGGGATTTCTTTGCCTTTCATGGAAAAAGTAGTAAATCAGACTACCCTCTTTATACCCTGTTATACCTTTGTATTATAGAAATACAGGGTAATAATCTAAATGGAAGTAATTGATAGCTTTTCTTGAATAGTGCTGGAAACATGAAACACATTGTTGGATGATGTTCGCATCAAGTTAGTTTGACCTTTAGCACGTACTGGTAGGTGGGCAGCTGATCTGGAATGGCAGAAGTTTTATACTTACCTTTTCATTTTAATAAATAGACTTTTTTTAGTACAAATAGAATTTGAGATAGAGATTCAGGATATAATTATTTGGCTAAAATGTGCTGTATAAACAAGGTTATATACTGTTATTTTGTAAATAAAGCAGAATAAATAAATTTGCAATTTCATGTTATGTAGAAAGAGAATGCTTGTGGCATTTCTTCTGTGTGAATGTTAAAGTCATACCAAAAGCAAGCTTTAACTAAGAAATTTAGAGCTCCAATTTTTCTTTTTTCTTTAGCATGTTTTGAAATTTTAAACGTGCTGGAAGAAGAGGCGTGCGGTATGCAATGGCACCGTAATGCGTAAAGGGCAAAGATTTAAGTCAATGTTATCAGAGAGATTCATAATAAATATTTGTATCTAGTGGAATAATGTTTACTTTTTCTCTCTCAGGGCCATTTTATGTGCCAGATCTAGTTACTTTGCTGCTATGCTGAGTGGAAGTTGGGCTGAAAGCTCCCAAGAGCACATCACTCTTCAAGGGTAAGTGTTGTCTTTGCAAGTCATGTGGGAGCAAAGGTAGGCAATTTTAAATCGCTGCAAATATGCAGCAACTGTGCTGCATATAGAGCACGGGAGATTAATGTGCCTTGACGTTTTTTCCAATGTGATATATTTCCTGAATAGTGTTTTGATTCCAGTACGAAATACTGTTTGAAATGTATTTGTTAATATTGTGAGATGGTACAGGAAAAGTCTTTTTTTGTCAAAAAGAGTGTACTATTCCTTTTTTGTAGAGCATGTTTTAGTACTCACAGACTATTTTGCACTTCTCTCTTATTTGCCTCATGTCACACGTCACGAAAAGCTGACTGGACAGTGTAATCTATTTTCACAGCTATTTGTACAATAGAAGTATCCTAGTTATGATATAAAGACAAACAATTACATTTCATAAATAGTGTTAAATAATGACATTTCAGCATCATACACTAAGAAACACTTTTGACTAGCATGCTTGTTTTTAATGTCTTTCTGTGCAAGTGCCAAAAATAACTGAGCTGTCAGCGAAGGATAAATACTTAATACTTTGTGGATAAACTGGGGACCAATTTAGTTCTTTCCAATTATCATAAAAACCAATTGAAATATTTCAATTTTCTTTTCAAAGCAAACTAATACTTCTGCATGTTAGCTTTTTTAGTTTGTGTGGTGTTGGCTGATTCAGCTTTCCTCAGAAAGAACTGTATACCTTACAGTGCTGCAAAATATACTTGCTTGGTTTTAATACAAAATTACTTAGCCAAGTGGCTCTTTCTTGTATTTTCATCATTTTAATCTTCTGTCTATGTAATAATGTTACTGCAGAAACGGGAAGGTTTTTGGTTGATTTGCTTGTTATATTTTAATGCTCGTAAAAACAATACACTTTAAGTAGTTGCTTAGCTCTTATGCTATATATAGCGAATGTTTTAGAGGTTGGTGGTCAACAGTTACTCTGGTAGTTACATTTGTCTCCCTGAAATTGATTTTCATATGTTCTAATTTCTGTCAAAGAAATTTCAGTCTTTATTTTTCAGTAAAGGCTTTCTCCTGAAAAGTACTTAATCTTTATAAGAGTGTACTTTCATGCCAATGTCTTACAATTTTCAGTATTAAGAATCATCTGAATTTATTGTACCTTTTCTAGTTCAGCTTTCTGCTTTGTGCAGATTTTAATGCTGTCTTTTTAAACATTTATAAATAATAAGTACATATGGTTTACTCTGAAATAAAGAAAATTCTGTATAAGATAACAGCTGTCAAGACAGCAGGGAAACTCCTTGCTGATTTTATGGTTATCCTGTATAGACAGAAAACTGTGTGGATTTTGCTGCTTACCGTGTTCCAACCGTTTTTTTCTTTTGTTTTTAGTCATCAAAGTCTGTTGCTTAAATATGGCTAATGTTTTGAAGGGTCTTCACTCCATTTGCATGACTAGCTTACGCTAACGTACACTGCACCTTTGGGGTCTGAAAATTGCACATTGAGATGTACGTACAAAAGTACAGCAGTGTACTGTTAGGAAGACCATTTAAAAATACATATTCCTGGCCTTTCTCCTTATGGGGCTGGGACAATGCAAGGATGCAAATGCAACTCTGTGGAGCGCTTTTGGGTTTCTTCTCCTTATTTCTTCTGAACATAGCCATAAAGACTTTTCCTAAATATTCTGAGATGCAACTTTTCTCCTTAGCACTGTAATAAACCTATTAAATGTATTTTTATCAAAGGAAAACCTTAATTATATTTCTAAAATCAAGAATTAAAAGTAATTATTATAGAATGATTTTGAAACATGCAGTTACTTAACTGTTGAGTAATTACTAGTAAAGGGCCTCAAGAAGATTTAAAAAAATCTCTTCTGTGTATTATCAGAATAAATAACCTAGAGTTTAGGTAATTATCACAAATCTCACTAGTATATGGTACTTTTCTGCTTATGACTAATCTCAAGGATTTAAAGTGTTATAAAGTTTCACCAATACTGCTGAGTAGCAAAGTTAACCCACGATACCGTCCCTTAGATAATTTTACATTGCAGTCATCTTGGAGACAGGAAATACTCTATCAGGTCGTTCACCTTCCATTCACAGAATGGCTGGATGATGTATTAGTCTTTTGACCAACTAACTTTGGTTTAAAAATGTGGTAGCTTTTATTCTGGGTATGCCTTTGTTTGTGGTGATGTTTTTCTTTCTTTTTTGCAGCATAAACCACGTAGAAATGAGTGTCATCTTGCATTTTATATATGGAGGTATTCTGGACTTTCCAGACAAAGTTGATGTTGGGTATATGTCAACTTTTATTATTTTTAATTGCAGTTTATACCTGTTTTGTATTTTCTCAGTTGAGAGTCAAAAGGAAACTTCTTCATGTAGTATAAATAAGACAAAGATGCCAAATGTGGTGATCATTATATCTAAACATTCTTGAGGAAATTCTAAAAATAAAGCTGTTGAAGAAATCTTGTTTACTCAGCAGCTAATGGAAAAGGTGGGCCAGCAATTTTTGGAATATTATACGAGAAAAGTAAAGAACAGGAGGGGGTCCTATATCTAAATAATTTGACATTTTGTTCCTACATGCCTTCTAGATTTTAGAATTGTATATACACAATGTGTCATGATATGTTACAGTTAATATTTGGAATGTATCTTGAAAGAATCACATGAGTTGGTGTGCAGGCCATGTAGTTAGTCTTGGAACCATAAAAGATGACAAGTAGCAAGCAATGTAATTGTTGACTTTTTTACTGCTATAGTTTCTAATCCTCGTTTTAGGTTGCTAGTGTACAATAATTCTAAACTGATGAAATGAATTGTGAAATGTATAATTGTTCCCTGCATAATTTATATATCAGTTGTTGAGCTTTGCCACTCAATATTAAACCCCTACAATTTCTGAATTTTAGAAACTGTTGGTCAAAGCTTACTTAAAATAAAAATATAATATTGTTTATAATACAACCCCGTGTCAATATTTAAAACAGTAATTGATATAGCAAATAAAACTATGATATTGATTAGTATATAAAATTAATAGCTTGCTTACTGTGCTTTTTTTAGTATTTGCAAGGGATACAATTCTCAGGTACTCTCATATTAGTTTTATGTAACCCTGGGAAAGAAGAACTACAGAAAGTCAAAACTGCTGGTACAAATATCTTTTCCACTTGCTATCATTAAAATAAAGAGAAACTGAGAGTCTTCCAGGCAATTTTTCAAGCAGTTGTTGAGGCTTACTTTTATGTAATACGACTGGAGTCAGTGGTTGGGGAGATTATTTTTAGGTTAATAAATGTTCTTGTTTGAAGATTATTCTTGGGAGATTTTCACACTTGGTTATCAGTGTGCAGGTATTTCCTGCAGAAACTTCTGATTGAACAGAGAGGTGACATTAGTGTGTGAATTGTCTTGTAAGTGATTTCTTTTTTTGATGCCTGTTGTTATTGCTTTCTCTTTAGTCGCATATTGGGCATTGCAGATATGTATGGACTAGATGGGCTGAAAGAAGTAGCTATCTACATCTTGAAAAGAGATTACTGCAATTTTTTCCAAAAGGTATGTCTAGATCTGTCAGTTATCATGCTACTTTGTGAGCCACAAAGCCTAAGGGAAGAATCACGTTACTTACAGATCACACTGATGAGATAGTTAACCGCTGTGTGGCCAAGGTGTTAGCTTAAGTCAGCAGACTCTTCTTCGGTGTGGATGTGTTAAATTCAGTACGACTACTGACGGGAGTAAGCCTGTGGTATCATTCCCTTATTTATGGAAACTTGTAATCCACACCTGATGAAAAGCAGTATTCCACTCTAGCAATTGAACTTGTATTAAATTACATGGAGTATAATTTAATACAGTCCAATGTATATGCAACTTGTTCTTAGCAGGAGTAGGAATATGGAAATACTGTATATTTGCCTATCAGATTTCATGGGCATATATTTTGAAAATAATTTTGTTCAATTTAAGAGTTTAAAAATAAACAACTATTTGAAGTTGAGCATTTTCTTGCATGAGGCTGAATGCTACATTTTTGACCTGTATGGATGCAGATGACCTCCCTGTTCTGCACAAAAGCAAACAAACGTAAATACTGTGGTAGTGAACAGTACTTCTGACTGAACTGAAGATTTTGTACTTCTGTATAGTTTGTGTAAGTAAGAATGTACAATAATTGTGATAATTTTCTAACGCCTATAGCCTGCTCCTGGAAAACAGCAACCTGTGCTAGAATGCATGGCTATTGCTCATTCATTGGGAGTGGAAAATCTATATGCTGCTTGCATGAAGTAAGTAAAATAAAATAAACTATAGTTCGTTTTCTGTTTCTCTCTTTGCTGTTGAAATTAATTTATTTTGAAAGACTGAATTTATTTTGACATATTAAATTTTCATGTTTTAAACAATTTTCCTCATTAATATTTTACAGGGATCAGTTAATGTTAACAAGATAGAACAATTGTTTCATCTGTTTCTTACCTAAGAACTGTCTTGTTAGGTTGATTCAGTCTTTGGTAAGTAGTATATAATGTGCTTTACATAAAAATATAAGTATGTAAATTTTTGCTTATTTAGCTCTGCAAAGTAATTTAAAAGATAATAAATACAGTATTAAATGTGTAGTAAATTAATTATAATATATAAAGATCTCATTAAAATAAGGATTTAAGAACAAATTTTGATGTGCAGATGTAGTTGCTGTGCTTCATGGAACATAGTCTAATGAAAATCATGCAGAAGTCCAGTATAATAATACCAAAGAAGTTTATGAAATGCCATTGTGCCATTATAGCACATCATCATCTGTTCAGACACAGAGTAACAGCAGATTGCCGTTATCAATTCTTACATTAGGTGGTGGGGTGCCAAATTGCAGCATTTGTGATTGCCTTTTCCTCTTAGTCTATATTCTACTCTGGAAACATGTACTTTTTTTTCCCTAGATTTCAGGTGATCACTGGCTATCAGTGATCATAAACCATCTATTTACAGGCAAGCCAATCTCTCAAAATAAAGTAACAGCATAGTATACTTATATGACAGTACTGAAATGCTCCTTCAAAGCTTAGCATTCACTCTTTGTGGCATATATTTATTGTTTCAATTTAGATCCGCCTAAACTTAGGTATTTCCTAATTGTGTTTTAAGATTGCCATCTGAGCTGACTTAAAACAACTTCTTTGAACTTGGCCCATTAACAGAGAATTCGGTCCAGCAGTTAGTCTATAAATGCACTGAACTCTCATAGAAATATGAAGAGTAGGTAGAGGAGCTAAAGGTAAATCTGTAGAGCCGCTGCCAGGCATTATTGAGTATTACTGTAATGTGGATTGGCATACACAAAGTTTAGTCTAGCTAGCTCGGATAACACTGACAGGAAGACAGGATGGTTTCAGTTCAAGCACCCACTAGACAGCTAAGTATGTGAGGTCTCCAGAGGGCTTTTACAGCTCACGCTGAAGGCCTTGTTTCCTTGTCTTTTTTACTGTTTTTATCCAAGCTAATTAGCTCAGGTACAGCTACCCATGCTGCCAAACCTACCCCAATTCAAGAGTTGTACTCTCAAGATGATTCTGGCCAAGAACTGCCCCTTGCTGCAAGGGCTGCAAAGGCTTCTGGGGACCTTCTTGGAAGACTTAGCAAGAGAGTGCTTATACCATCAAGTACTGGCACCAGTAGATCAGCTGTGAGTGGCTGCTACTGCCTATTTAGGTGACAGCTTGAAACACGAGAGATTTCAGAGCTACCTGGTTCTGCCAGGGTTGCTTGACAGTATCCACAGTTATAAACAAATTGTCCTTCTACCAGGATACATAACTTTGCTTGTATTAGTGAGTTTTGTAATATACTAATACAAAGTAAAGATTGTAGCTATAGCTGCTATGACAGTAGGATTATTTTGCTGTTATAGTATATCAGTACGCTAAATTGTTCCTACTATATATATACAGCTTTGTGGTCATACGTATGCATATGTCATATTTGCTATAAATACTAGAGTAGTTTCAAATAAGTTTCTCATAGATAAGTCCATTCTGATCTATGGGTTTTCATGCTTACACCAGCACCCATTGCCAAAGTAGCTCAGGTATGTAGCATAAAGACAGAGTTCACTGCAGATGCAGTTCTAATATCCCCTCTGGTCACACTAGTGTGGCAGCATCAGGATAGCATAAAGGTAAAGCCAAGCCACTTCAGGCCTCTCTTCCCCTCTGTGCCCATTATAATATGTCAAGATGCATTTTACTAATTTAAAGTTAGTGTGGGTGGGTCTTTGCAAGATTCACCATGTTTTATGGACTGAGACGTAAAAAGGTTTTAGAATTGCAAATTTTAAAAATGTAGCATAAGCCTCTTCTGCCCACAGAACAGTTCTGTTGAGTCAACACGTAACTCTGAGCTCTTGTGGCACCCAGTCCAAAAATTTGTGGACCCTGTGTGGTTTTTCCAACTCAGAATCTGCAAAAATGCTTAAAGCTGCTTGAGGGAGAAAGAAGAAAAGGTCTGATATTAATTTTACAGGGGCTATTTTATGTTTTACAATCCTCCTTTTAAATGCTCTGCTGCAGAACTTTTTAACAGTTACACCCAGTTCAGTAGTACGACCCTACTGATTTTTTCATTTACCAATATTGGAAATGTAAAAAATAGTTACTGTGGGGCAGTTCTTTAGAGGAAGAAAAAATGCAAAGAAAAGGAGACAGCTGGTGGGAGAATTTCTGGGAAGCCTGAGTGACGAGCACAAAAACACTAAAATGGAAGTGCAGCTTACAACACCATTCAGGTACTTATCCTTGGAGTCTCAACTAGATCTAAGGAAATGACTACGTTTTTAGGCAAGCAGAGTAGACTCCAGTTTAGAATGGAGCTAGGAAAAGAATTGTAACAGAAGTAAAATTCACTTAGAGCCACTCTTGCAAAGTGTTGATTTAATTAGAAGTCCATGAAGGCATTTTGTATTTCACTGGAAGTGTCTAATGGGCGTAAATGCTTATTGCCTTGTGAGCAAGGGCTGAATCGTGGACAATTCAAAAAGCTTGTAATTGAGTCCAACGGGAGCAGCAAGATCAAATCATAAGCACGTATTTGATCTGTAATTTACCTTATATGCATATAATCAAACTGGTTTTGCTCAGTTTGCTGAGTGAAATAATAAAAAATATAGTTGGGCAATGGCTGTCCGGATTACATATATAGAATTGCTCCTTGCTGCAATATGCATGAAAAAACCTACAATATGCATTCGTACTCATTTCTACTTTGCATGAGTCAATATAACCTGAATCTTTTTTGTGTCAAATATTTATCTGAACTGTTGCTTTTTCCAGCATTACTGCTCTTATTGTGTAATTTATCGGTGACCTACTGGGTCATGTTATTTAGAGCTTTTAGTCCATTTTACTTGTGAATAATGATAAACTGCAAATTCATTTCAAGCCATAGTGTTGCTCAGGTACTGTGCTGATAATGTGATGCCAATACTTAGATAAGTACAGAAGTACCAAAGGCACAGAACAGGGAGTAAATATCACGAAATTTGTTTTTAATTTAACTCTGAACGTAACTGTTATTTCTTAAAGAAGCATTAGAGAATGAAGAGGGTAAGTTCAGTTACAACTCCAGTGCCTAATGGTTGCTTTATCCGAGAGGACAAATATTTGATGTTTGACTCCTTTAAAACAAGCAAAAGGTTTCACGTGTATGAAAATTCTTCAATATTTAGGTATCCTGAAGGCTAAGTGGCCATCTGTACTCACCTGAAACTTTTACGCCCCCACTTTGGAAAATAAGTTTTTCTGTGACATAAAAGGATCTTCTCCATTCGATTTTTTCAGTTATGATTTGCCTTATTTTGTTCTAGATTGCAATATGCAATGACACATAGTTGAAAAATACAACAAAAGCTACTGAGTACTTTATTGCCCATCTTCAGCAGGCAAAACAAAAGCTGTAGATTTTTGAGTTTTTGCTTCAGCTTCAAAGGTAGATATAATGTCCTGAATTATCAAAATCCAAATTCATTTAAAAGAAACTACAATATGGTTGGATTTTTATGTAAGTGCTTAGTAACTGAACAGAACCTGTTTTATAAGCAGCAATTGTTTAGGTGGTTACTCTGCAACAGGCTAATTTCTGTTTTTATTTAAGAACCACAAGAATGCTCCTTTCCTTCTGATGGAAAGTGATCGGCTGATCAGTAGTCTTCCTCAAGTGAAATGGACTGAGACAGCTGTTGCCTTGGCATCTAGGCTACAAGAAGAATGCATAACATTTATTGTGGCAAACTTCCTACATATAGTACAAAGTGAAGGCTTTTATATTTTGTTGCAGGTAAAAATGCTCTCAAGTTATTGTATTTAATGCAGTAAAAATGCATGTATGAAAATGCATGTATAAAAATTGTATAAAAATAAAAATTGTATTATACTTTGGATAGTTCAGGCTGTTAAATAATCTTTTGTTGTTGTTTTAAAGTATGCTTATATGGACAATTAATACAGAATTAGGCAGTTTTTATAAGTGTTATTTTAAAGTAAATTAAGAGTTAATACTGTGTTCATGTAGGTACCTAACTTATGTAGAAGTTCCAGAGAATTTAGTGGGACGATTTCTCGGTTGCGAAGACATAAATATGTACATGAACTTCCAACAAGCTTCCGTAACACTGGACCCCCCCGAATGACAGCATATACCTATAGGAATGATTGCGATTATTAGGAGCATGCTCAAACTTCCAGTGATTTTGGTTGTGAGATGTGGGAATGTGGCAATGCTGTAGGTCCTAGTTAGAACTTACCTAGTCATCGTTTCTCACAGGAAAGCTTTCTTTTAATAAGTAGCAGATTTAAAAAAAAAAAAAAAAAAAAAAGAAGAAGAAGATATTAAAACATTTTAGATTTAGAGTTGTGTGTGGCTGTAAATTCATCACAGGGTGTTTGTTTCAAAAATTTGGATTAACCAGAGGTCTCAGGATTATTATAGAGATCTGGAGGGGGAAGGGGTATGGAACGAGTACACAGGAAGGAAAATGTTCAGCTTTTGGAATGCCTCCTAGACTGATGTGATAGCAGACCCCTTCTGTTCAGTAGGGCTTCTGCATACAAAGTACACTCTTTTGTTTTAAATGGCTGCCTTTTGTTGTTTCCTCAGGCACAGGCAATGAGCAGCAAACCTGACCTTCTAGAACTAATTTTTAATACAATTGAAAGAAGTATTAATACTGAAAATAGCTGCTTGCTTCTTGTAGCTGTGGATATGTTGTTGAATTCCACAAACGTGAAGGAGATGGTAAGTGTTACAATGTGCAGTGTTTGTAGGAAAAAATATTCTGGTAGTGTTTTGTGCAAGGGTTCAAATCAGATGATGCAGTTTGAGCACAGGTGGCTCAGTCCTGCAATTGGATCCACACAGAAAGGCACTAGCCTCAGTCTAATAAATGTGGAAGTGCAGAAAATACTGGCAGTGGTTTACTGGATAATGACACTTTTTCCTTTTTTTTTCTTTTCTTTTTTTTTTCTTTTTAGAAAAGCTCTACCTATGGCAACACTAAAACGTATTGCACGTTAGTGGGAATATGATTCTCATGGGCACCATTACTCTGCTGATCTTTACTATCATTTTAAGTTTGTGATGAGGGAAGACTTACTAAATGTTCAATTACCTTAAACTTACTGGGGAATAGAGCTTATTCTCTGTCTGTCTGAATGTCTGTCTGCCTCTCTTTCTGTTTTTTCTCCCTGGTTTGTAAAAATCATAACTACATTTGCTTTTGTTTAAGATTATGTCCTCTGAAGTGCGACAGCATCTTCATCTGATGTGTGTATTTTGGACTGGGGGGAGGGGTCTGTTTCTGTGTGTGTAACATGCTGTGTATATTCCCACAATTTAAATGATGAATAATAATGTTTAAGCTGTGGGTGACTGTAATGCTAGGGATAATTCATGAATAATATGACATACTGATTAAAATCCAGAATGCTGCTACCAGCAAAAAAAGAAAAATAAATGCAAAATGAATTACTGCAATCTGGTGCTATTGTAGATCATCTTGGTAAAAGCAATGAAAATTTAATCATATACATTATTTTTCCCCAGAGTATTTGACCTTGTTGTGACAGCTGATAGTAAAGAGTTATTAAGGGGTTCATTTAAAAAAAAAAAAAGAAAAAAAAAACGTTTCTAGTGCTTTAGTATGCCTTGGAGTGGTTTGGTCTCAAAATACTGTAAAAATTACAGTGATGGGCAATATGCTTTCAAAAACAGCATCTCTATCTTCCAGGCCATCATAAAATAAAAGTGATGACATCATTGATCTAGCTTAGGGAGTAAGTAGATTCTGAAAGGAATAATGACTGGTTGCTATGACAATATGCCTCTCGCCAGCTGCTGATTTGTTACTTGAACACAGGGTTTTACGTGCAAGATCCAGGCTCTGCGTGATAAGCTCTGGGTCTTCCTGGTTCAGTCTTTTTATGCTGTTCGTCACACAGAAAGCTGGAAGCTGATGAGGCCAGACCACCAACAAAAAATAGAGGCAGGTATGTGTGGCATCAAAGGACATTATAGCTGTTTAGTAATCTGTTTAGTATACAGAATTTAGTACTGGGAAGCCAGAAACAAATTACAGCAAGATTTGTGATGCTCTAGGTTTCTAAAGTGGTGTTTCAGAACTGAAAGCAAGATAGTGTGCTTAGCTAGTTTCAAACATGGAAATCAGCAAGTCATCTTCCGTGAATAAGTCTCCCTTGTTTATTTGTTTTTTTTTCCTGAGAGTGTATACAATAGCAACCAAAGATATGTAGATACATTCTATTCTTGTTTACAGCTATTCTGAATTATTGAAAATATTGCAGTAGGACTTATCTGTCTCCTTTTTAAGGAGAAGAGCACTTTGGAAGAATCAAATCTGCACAAAGCTGATTATCAGTTCTGTGAGTTCTATGATTTTAGTTTCTATCTTTTATTGGTTTTCTATATTATTGCATAAATATTGCTTGTCTCTTGCATAATGCTTATCTCATGTGGACCGTGAGTAAATGCAGATGGCTTGACTTCACAGTTGATTGGTATTGTCATATTGTGTATGCTACTGCAGAGAGCCCCTAAGGAGCTGCATAGTGTTCTCTAAAAATTTTAACAGGCAGTACTTCAGCTTCCAACAAAAAGGAATTTTTGTTCTGAACGCTGCTTTGTTTTGAAGTACGCAAATATTCTGAGGGTGCAGAACTGATGATGGAGTTAGGTTAGTGGCTGAGTATTAGCTTTCATAATACCATGTTATAAAAAAAAAAATGTGTTGAAGATTTCTGTATAATCAAATCACTTGATTCAAAGAAAAGAAAAGGTAAGCACTTGAATGTCCTTTTTGTTAAAGCCATTAGCATCTAGACTATTATAGGAATAAAATTGTTCATGCTTAAAGATGGATTAAAATTTTATTCTAGAATTACATGTTGAGAGAAAGATGCAGGCTCAATCTTTATAAGCATAATTTAGGGGTGTAGCCAAATGAGGTCTCATTGCTACTTTATAGAACAGGCTTGTGATTTCTTCCTGGATTATAAACACCTTCGGAAGCTGAGGAGCTGGATTCAGAAACAAGCGTTATATATATTTGTATGTATATGTTTGCATCCTTATCCTTATTCTAAATTATGTTTAGGCTTTTTTTGCATTAGGGCTTTCAATGCAAAAAAAAATTAAATGTAAGACTGAGGTGTGCCATTAGTTGTCTGAACTCCATCTTGCCAGAAATTGTTTTATCTTTTTTATTATATTATAATAAATGTGATACATTTTATTTATAAACAGACAGACTGAAATGTTTGCATGCATCATCTGCTTTTAATTATAGGTGAAGTGATTATGCAATACTGTCAGACTAATTTTAACCTTCAGGTGAAATTTGTCTGGGATAATTTAAATCAACTTTCATCTTGCAGATTTCTGGTGGTGGCTTATTCTTCAAGGATTTAACCTATATAGAATTAGCACACTAGGAAGGAGGAGGAAAAATGCCAAAAGAAGACATAATATTGTGGATTTTTTCATTCACATTTTTTGTCTTTTCCTAGGCACAAGTTTATATGGATTTTGTCTAATATATTGGTGTGTATTAATGTGCAGAGTCATTGTTGGAAAAGGCGTTAGATCCCTGTGGTGCCATTTTCAGCATACTTTTTCTCGTGATTTTTACAGACCTATATACAAATTATTTTTAATATCTTAAATGATAATTCAGCAGAATTTTAATCTTATTTTTATACATGTGGGGTTTTTTGTATGTATAAATAATATGTCGGAATATGAGGGACTGAGTGCTTAATTTTTTAAATCAATTTTTTGTAAAACCTTTTTCCAGCTGGAACATTAATACAAACAAAAAAGAATCCTTATTGATTTTTGGGTCTGTATGGCGTCTATAAATATCCTTTTTCTGTTCTACAAGCACGATTGATTTAAAGGCTTTATTGAAAAATGCTTCCCTCCCAAAGCAGAACAGTCTCCCTCCCCCCCACCCCAAAAGGCATTCACTGCTTGAAAATTTCACATGACAATCACAGGATAACTCATGACATTAAGCTGTAGGCTGCCTAAAGAGATATTATGCACATTTAGATATTTTGGCTTTAGAACCTCTGAAAACATATACTATTTAAACAACAGATCCATTACATTAAGATTATATAAATTATTTTATAAATGACAGTGTATCAGTTGGAAGTCACTAGCACTCTAACTTTGAAAGTCTTTTTTTGGTAAATTTTTGTACACATTTTCAGAGATCTCAGTTCACTGCAAGCCTTGAGTGAGCTAAGATTGCAGAAGCGAGTGTGTCTTACCATGGAGATGGAAAAACAGAAGAGTTAAACAACTTGCCTATGGCCACATGACCGCACTACAGATACCACATTTTTTGTTCTGAACATAAAAACGTATTTCTCCACGTAAAATTTGCCATGTAAGCAAAATTATCCTTACTAGAATAATTACAGGACCTAAAGAATTGCTATCTGGTTTCAAAACATGTTAATTTAGTAGGCTGGAGTGTTTTCTGTTCTCCTTCCTTTCCTGCTTACTAGTAAAGAAAATGCTTTTTTCCCTTTTACAGCGGCTTTTGACAAGGGTGATGATCGAAGACTTGGCAAAAAACCTGTATTCACTAGTTCTCAGGTAAACATTGAGACTCAAAAATCTTGTAGACTCAACAGCTTGTAGACTTTACTATTTTCATCATTTTAATTCAATATTAATTTGTCACATATTAATTAATGGAATTTACTTTAGAAAATTTATGTTTTCTTTGTAAACTAGCATTTCATCGAAATCTGTAATGTTCATTATTGGAAATGTTTCAGGAGTCATCCTATGCTCTACTACCTTTTCAAATGGATAAGCTCAAATAAAAGATAGGAATTTGTGTTCAGAAACTCACATTCCCCTGTTGCTACGTAATGAAACTGATCTCTGTTTCCCAAAGCAAATGGTTGGCTGCTGAGCTAATGAATCTCTGGTATTGTCACAAGCCATCACAGCACAATCTATGACACTTCCTGCCTTGAAAAAATACATTTTAGTGTCCTCATTCTTAATATTGAGGTTCTCACTTGAAATTACATTACTACTTGGTAGAAAAATAGCGGGGGTTTTATATGATTTGATGGTCAGGGATGGGTGCATTGTAATTATTTTTGGTATCATAAAGAATCCATTTCATTCATTTAATTCTTCATATTCCAGAGAATATCTTTACCTGAGAGACAGAGATTGAACTACCGTTGCTTATCTGCTGGGTACTCTGTTAGTAATGGTTAAAAATTTCCTGTATCACATGTATGTTAAATTAAATTTTGTTTTTATGTTGATAATAATTCATAGTCTTTGTTCTTCTTTGGAATATGTGCCTATATCTCAAAAAAAAAAAAAAGTTTCCTTCAGCAGACACTAATCACATAAATAATGCCAAAAAATCTGTCCAATGTGTGAAATTGAGATTTTGCTTAGATATTTCCATATCCTCTATATAGAGCAGTATTTCACAAGGGATTTACTGGGCACTGTAGTTAGTTTCTGGTACATCTGTAGCTTTGAAAGCTAGCAATCTGAGCTGAAGAAAAATATATTTTTTAATTATTTCTATGCCCAATCTTGTTATTTTAGCTTCATGTACTACTAAAATAGTAGCTGTGTTTCAGAAATTAATGATTATGGATGGTTTAGTGGGAGAAAACTCTTCTGTTTTTCCTTTTCTTTCTTTTTTTTTTTTTCTTCCAAGCTAAACAAATCCATTAGTGAATCAGCTGGTATAAAAAATACATCCTGGACAGAACAAGGCAAGAAAGATTGCTGGGGAGATACTTCCACTAATCAGGATAAAATGAAATCTGATGGATTAGGAGCATCTGGACATACATCAAGCACCAACAGAAACATCGCTAACAGGACTTCAAAGAACGAGGATGTAAAGGGGAAAGATGGCAAAAAAACAGTTTCCAAGATTACTAAAGATTCAAAACCTGGAGAAAAAGTTGCTTCACCAAAGGCTAGAGCTGTTATAAAGCCAAAAATAGAAAATAATGGAAATGCAAAAGCTGAAAGCATGCTTACCAAGCAAGATGTTGAAAAGACATCATCTGCAAGTGGACAGAAAAATTCAGGAAGTGGCAGAGGACTAAAGAACCAAGAAGGAAAAATTGCAGGTGCCAGACCTAAAGTGCTGACTGGAACCTCAAGTGTGCAGATCAGAACAAAGCCACTGAAAAAAAACACAGGAAAGGAATCTCCCTGCTCTGTGACTGGGGCAGGAACTTCCAGCAAATCAACAAATTCAAGCATGGATATCCAGACTGCCAGTGAACAGACAGAAGAACCCAAAGAGGATAAATTGGCAGAAGAAGAAAAAAAATATACTGGTAATTTAAATTTAAAAAAAAAAAAAAAGTAATAATCTCCTTCTGACTTGTCACAGGCTGGTCATACATTGAAAAACAGCCTGGGGAGTTTAAAAAATAAAAAAAATTCTAGATTGATAGTGACCCCTTCTTCCCATGTAAATGAATATTAACTTCAGATGATAATATTAAATTTCCCCTCTATTAACAAACTTTATTTTATGATTTTTTAAAAAAGTCTCTCATCATCTAGTGGCCATGTAAAATGGTAAAGTTTTCTAGGTCTAGGATCTGCACTGTTTTCAATAGCTCACCTTTATATATTAGAATTTTTTCAGTATTTGTATGCTATGCATTTTCCCCTTTAACTTTGAATTTACTTTACCATAGTGAAAACAAAGTTGTCTTCGAAGACATCAAATGGACTCACCAACAAAAAAAAAAAGACTGAGCTGGAGCCTAATGCTGCAGCAAGCAGGTTTGTTACAACTCAGTACGCTACTTTATATGTATGGGTTTTTTTCAGTTCAACTATTAAACTTACTGCTAAGTCAACATGTACTTTTTAAGCTAAGAATACTCTAGAACAGCTGTCTGTTGCATGTTATTGGCAAAAAAATTAGTTAGCTACTGGAAACACTGTTGTAAAGAAAACTTTTTTTGCCTTTGTTTTGGATTGTTTTATACTAATCATTCTAACATTGTTCTAGGTTATTCAGAGCTCTGCATACTGGAACAGTTAATGATTGTACAAAGTGCTGTAAAATTGTCACCTCTGGAATAGCTTAGATTGAACTACAAAAACATTGGACAGTAGGACAGTGGAAAACCCTGTGAAACTGGTTATTTTTATATATATATACATAAATATATATGTATTTTTTTATTTTCAAAAAGAGAAAAGGCATTATGAAACTTAGATTGCATTTTCCATGTTTTCTATATATATTTGTGTATATATTAAAATGCATATATTACCTGTTCAAATATCATGAAACATTTATAGATCTTAAGCCTAAAACTAATGCATATATTTTATTTCCAGTGTGACAAAAAAATCAACTGGAAAAGGATGCAATGAACAAAACATACAAGCTGTTCTGAAGAAAAAAGGGACTGTGAGTAGCAATTCTGCAACTCAGCAAAAGGCACAGAACACACCTACCAGTTCTCCCAAAAACCAAGGTAAAGTTTCATGTGACAATGAAACAGTCCTCCATTGTTATGCAAAGCTTTATGCTATTTTTTTAGCACAAGTATTTGGCAAAATCTTCTGAACAATTCTGTTTATTTTCCGTGTTTCATTTTTACTGACAGCCCTAAACTGTAAAATGTAAATGAACGTGTCAACTTCGCAATAATTAAACAAGCAGAAAAATCCACTAACTGGCAGGGAAGGCCACCTCTCTAATCTGCTTTGCGGAGTTTTTTATTTTGATGATACATTGCACTTCTGCACTTGGAGCCACCACTGAGTTCTGCAGATCAAACATTTATAATATGCACCAAAGATCCACAGTGCAAACTGCTTGAAGGAAATACTTTCTAAATAATCTGTTGTAATTGCTTTATATATTTACAAAACGAGTAGAATCCAAGTCTGATAAATGAATCATGGTATTTGATACACATAATGCAGTATCTAGTAAAACCATTTCAAAGTAATTTTTCTTCTACATAACTAGCTTCCTAAATAAACATTTGCGTTAAAAAGAATCTTTGGTATCAGGTAAATGCTTCCATTTGATTGTTATTGTTATTGCAGAGAAAGCAGCTGCAATGACTATAAATAATAAGCTTAGATCTAAGAGATGTGTAATCCAAGTATTTTAACTCATAGTTATATGCAGACAAATATACTCTGGTTGGACAAGAAAATCTTTCTGTCCTTGGAACTGCCACTAAAATTTAAAATTTCTTTATGAATTGTTAGTTTATGCCTTCCTTTGTTGTTGATCCCCCTAGCTGTAGCTCTACTGTTATTCATTTACCCCACAAACTTAATTCTTGATCTCAACACTGAGGGAAATGACATCCTAGACCACAGAGATGAGACCCTGCTGTGAAATGATGCAAAATGTTAAGGATGGAACCCTTTTTAATCCCATTTTGATTATCTAACTGAGGGGAGGGAAAAGTATTCAAGTTATACTATCTTAAATGTATTACGATAGATAAAACATAGGACCTGTCAATATGTGGTCATTAAAGATCCTACAGCATTTTCTAATAGAGCGGGAATATTAATTCTGGTGTTCTAATCATATTGTAACTAATGAAATTATATTCTGCCTACTTTCATTTCCTCTGCAATATAAATTGAATACAGTGCTCATCACTTCCTGTGCTAAACTGCTGTGCAGCGTTTCTATGCACTATTAGATAGTTGCTGCTTTCTATGCCAGCGATTACTACCTCAGTGACAAGTGAACTAATTCCTTTGTGGGTAGTCTGTAAGGTGTTTCAGTTTCAAAGATGGCGTGTAAATGCAGGATGGTATTTTTGTCCACTGTTTATATTTAAGATCTTAATTTTTAATTCTTTAACAAGCCTTAAATCCCTTAGCTGCATAGAAAGTTAAATAACTATTACTCAAATTACATAAATTCATCGTATATACTTTGACTGAAATGCACAATCTTTACATTTTTTTCCTCCTATTTGTTAGGCTTTCAGGTGGAATCACCAAATTCACTGAAATCAGGAATGTCTCCAAAACAAAATGAAGAAAAATACGTGATACAACATCTGGTTCAGACAACACTTTCAGAAAAACATTCTTCAACTAAGAAAAAGAGTGTTAAGCAGTTGCAAACACCTGTAGCAAAAGCTACTGCAAAAATAACAACACCTAAAACTCAGGTTCAGTCAAAGCATGGTGAGAGTATGAACAATAAAGACCCAAAACTGAAAACAGTTGGGCAATCTGTATTGAAATCACAGTCCTCTGCCCAGAGACATTCAAGAAGTGAATCTCCTGGTGTCCAGAAGACTATGCACACCTCTGAGCCCAGAAGTTCAGGACCGAAACTTGAAACACACATGGCTGATGCTCTGGCAGTTCAGCTTCACGACAATAATGAATGCACTTCTGCAAAGCAAATTGAACGTCTGAACTCTTTGATGGAAGGTAGCAAAGAAGATATACTCTTGGCATCCTGTCAACAAGATAAACAAAAATTATTGGATCCTCCTGACAGTGGGGAATACAAACTACAGTCTGAATCTTCTTCTCCTCTGATCATCAAACAAACTATTCCTAAAACAACTGTTTTAGTCCAAAATGAAATGGGAGCAAAACAGATCTGTGGAGATGCGACTGAAATTAAACAGCTTACAGATGCAAAGAAAGATGGCAATCCTGCTCAATTTCACTGTCATGCACAGTCTACTAGTGATGGATACTCAGACTTTTCCAAGGAACTCCATCAAAAGGCTACTGCTTCAGGAGAAGGGATGCAATATTCAAAAGCAACAAAAGCCTGTGCTGAACAAAATAATACATTAAACACAGAAATAGGTCTCAACTATGGTGAAAATATTTCACCAAGCTTTTCTAAAAGGATATCCAATAAAGAGGATGAAACATCATCTCAAATTCATATGGAGGGATTTCTGACAGCTGATGAGTCATGTGATAGATCATCCTTGACCGAAGACAAACCAATTACAGTAGATTTAGATGATGTTTCAAAATGTGCCATAGAACAAGTAACAGAAAAGTGTTCGCCTATAGATGCTACAGAAATGCCAGAAAACCATGAAAATGCAGAAATTCCCTTTGTGGACCACTGGAATACGGGGGCACTCGATCCAAAAGAGAGTCCTGAATCAGATACTGGCAGTGCAACCACATCCTCGGATGATATAAAACCAAGATCAGAAGATTATGATGCTGGAGGCTCTCAGGATGATGAAGGATCCAATGAAAGAGGGATTTCCAAATGCAGCACTATGTTATGCCATGATTTTCTTGGAAGAAGCAGCAGTGACACAAGTACACCTGAGGAATTAAAAATTTATGACAGCAGCCTAAGAATAGAAGTGAAAATGAAAAAAGAGGGTTCTGATCTATTCCGTGTTAATTCAACAAGCGATGATGAAATACCAAGAAAAAGATCTGAAATCTGGTCACATCAAGAAAGTGCAAGAAGGGCCAACACTAGAGAAAATGAAAGTTCTACTTTTGGCAAGGCACAGTTTATTCAGGAAACAGACCAAGTTTCTTCTTCTGCTGATGAAACGGAAGATGACAGATCTGAAGCAGAAAATGTTGCAGAAAACTTTCCTCCATCAGATGTTCCTACTCAACAGTTCCAAGGAATTGATAATTTGGCTTTTGAAGATGCAACAGAAAATAATACTGCAACTCAGGAGTTTTCTAAAACTAAAAATTTCAAACGATCTGTTTTACTTTCAGTAGATGAATGTGAAGAACTGGGATCAGATGATAGAGTGGAAGCTCATACATCACGTCAGCATTCAATAGATTCTCTTACTCCTTCAGATGTATTTGATAGTGTTTCCCATGAGCACCATGGAACAACTTTTTATTCAAGATACTCATTGGAAATTGAAGATGGATTCCTGGACTGCAAACAGCATAAGGATAGAGACAACAGGCTGGATAACAGTGAAAGTCCTCTTCTTCCTGACACTGAAATCCTAGGAAAGGATAATCAAGGTACTTCAATGACTGAACAAAACTGTTCAGAGAAAGTGTACTCTGCAGCCAGTCTGTGTCCACCAGCAGAAAAGCAGGAATTAAAAATGAAGAATGAAGTGGCTAGTGAATTTCAACAGTGCAATAAATACTTGGACAATGATGCAAAATCTCAAGATAGACCATGTCATCTGGATCTTCATCACAGAGAGACTAATTCTGATATGCAAAAGAGCAGCTCTGCCAAACCTGTAGAACCCGATAAGAATCAGTTACTGACTCAGGAAGGTCAAGTGAGAGACAGTCAACCAGCAACTACTGAATACGCTAATACTGATTTACTTCCAGGTAATGTACAGAAATAGAAACATTCAGTCATTCCAAAACAAATTAATAGGGAAAACAGTGGCAGTTTGTCTGGGATTGAATCCTGAACTGAAGTAATTTTGGCTGAAAAAATACAGAAAATTTAAATATTTTTAAGTATTTCACTTGGGTGCAGAATACTTGTCTGTTTGAAATATCCATAAACACCTAGTTGTTAATGAGAAACTTGACTACTACAGGAAAACAGATTTTATGTAATGCTAAAAGGAAGATTGGACACAGTTGTCTGTAGTTCAGTTATTTTTGATCCAATCTAACAGTGACAGCATCAACTTTTGATGGAAACTCAGTATTTGCTTTGTCTGCTTGACAACATTCCGTATGTCTGAAAGGGATGTGCAATAACTACAGTAATAACCTTAACTAAATCGCACTGAACTGTTTACTTAACAGCTATATGCATTACTGTTGTAGATTATTTATATATTATATTATACACAAATTTGGATCCTTCTCCCGCTGAATATAACCGAATATTTGCCATATACATCAGTGGGAGCAGGTTTGAACTCTGATTTAGAGCTTACAAGATGTCTACAATTCTAAATTTTACCAGTAAAAGCTAATTTCCTAAAAGAGAGATTATACTTTGAACTAATGATTATATACAGAAAACTTCTAACTTGCTTCACATAGTTAGATGATTACCTGTCTAGTTGTTTTGTGTTTTGTCTTCTTGATATCAGTAATTCAGTTTATTATCCCATCAAAAATACACAATAGTGCTGATTACAACTATTGTGTATTCAGGAGTAATGAAATGCTGACAATGATCTATGTTCAGCTACGCCACAGAACAAGATGACATTAAAAGCTGTACTATTTTTTTTTTTTTAAGTTTGCTTGCTCTTGCCTGCAGTTGCCCTTGCATGTGCAGTATAGAAATAAGCCTGTGGATAAACTATTTTGTTTTTAATTCTTTTTTAAGCTGACATAGTGTAAGTCACCATTCAGTAATCATTCTCTATTAATTCCCTCCATGCACCTCCTAGTCTAAATTTAATTTATGTAGTAAATGAGAAATTTCATGTGCATTAAATGTGTATTTACATAACTTGTCACTTTCTGTATCAGAAACTTAATAATGGAGGTTTACTGTTAATTACCAGTGGTGATTGCTGCTTTAATTTATAAACCATACTTTGTTTTTTACATAGGAAATAAATGCCTCAAATTCTGTCAATTTTGTATTACATTTCTCCCTCCTCCCTTTTTTTTAACCTGGTTGGATTGACCTTCCTGAATGAGTTAAATTTTGCTCTACACAGCCCTGAGGGGAAGATCATCTGCAATTTTTACAATGTACAGTATTGTGAATTATTTCAGGAGACATAGATGATTATGACACAATGGCACAAACCTGCATGTATGAACATCGACCTTCAAAAACCCTTTCTCCAATATATGAGATGGATGTTGGAGAAGCATTTGAGCAGAGGATGGATTCGGAAACAGCAGTTCTAGATGTGGATTTTGAAGATCAGCAATTTGCAGAACAGGACTGGACTCTTCTCAGGCAATTATTATCTGAGCAGGACTCAAATATAGGTTTCAAAAACTCTGTTCCTGAAGACCTTAACTTAGCACAATGTCTTATCAATCAGACACTGTTTCTGGCACGAGATGGCTCGAATCCTCAGGGTACATCACAAGTTGACACTTTCAGTAGGTGGACTGAAATAATGTCTCCACTTGACGATTCTTCAGCAAGCATTACAGTGGCAAGCTTTTCATCTGAAGACTGTTCTTCCCCTCAAGGGGAATGGACAATTCTTGAACTGGAAACCCATCATTAAGGTGATCAGATGCTTGCAACTGGACTCCAACCCATTCCCCAAATCTATTTTTGATGCGTTGTTTCCATATAATGAAATACTGCATCAGTCAAGAACAAGCAATTCTTGATACTGAGGCAATCTTTCTGATATAATGAGGTAAATATGTTAATTTATAACCTAGATTTAATCACAAGTACAGTAATTTTTCAAGGCTTAAATGTATGTCTTTTTCTAAAATCAACTTTGAGCATGTATTTTCTAGACTTGTTAGAAAAAAATAGATGACATGAAAGAAAAATCCTGGTTCCCCCTCTCCCTTTTATACTCCTTTCTGCCAATTAATATTCTCATTGAGCAAGAATTTAAGGATGACTGCACAACTAGTAGAGCTATTCCTCTCCTTTTTTTCTCTCTATATGGTGACTTGATTTTACAACAATAAAGACTCAGAACAGTTGTGTCAAAAGGTGATGTGTGCCAACACTGCTTTAAATAATAGAAAAGTATACTTGTGTTTACAGAAAACATTTCAATATGAATCTGCTTTGGGCTTTACTAATATGAGCAACTTGTTCCATCTGTCTCCTCCAGGTTTGATTTTTGTATTTTTTGAGTTTTGTTTAGAAGTTTCCAATAAATTTTTTAATTTGTCTTTGCTTCAAATATAAGACTTCAGAGGGTCTGTACTCTAGGAAGGCACTGTTTCTTTCCTGGAAACACACATGTTTATATTTTTAATGACTTAGTTAAATATATTCAGAGGAGTCAGTAGGATGCTGATCCTGTTCTAAAAACAATGTGTCTAGTATCTCCAAAGGTATATTTCATGCTGAAATGCTGATAGAGATAATCTGGCCACTGTTACATCAGAAGTCTGACTTGCAGGAGAAGTACCTTTGATCTTCAATTCATTACACTTGCACTCTTTTGAGACTGAGGCATGGCTAAATTCTCATGGATTTGACTTTGCTTATTCTCATAGATAATACATTTTTGTAACAGGATTTTTCTCCTTCCAGCTTCATTAGCATCTCTAAAGTGTAGCTTTTATGTGGAGACTAAGTGTCAACATAACCATTTTTCCAGCTAAGGAGAGTAAAATAGAAAGTACTTCTCTACACCGCTCATTCTGCCCTTTCTGGCTGTTAAGTTGGGTGTGGATAAGACTGTTTGATAGGACAAGGGGGAGGAGGGAAGTTATAAAATATTTGTAATTCTTACCAAATCAAAACTCTTCCTGAAACATTCAGGGTTTTTTTCCCCACAAAGCATAAGCCCTCTAAGAAATATCTGCCTATCTTATCTAAGTTTTCTGCCTCCTCCGAGTCATTAACAAAAGCAGTGCCTTCAGAAGTGGGTGACATATGGCAGCAAAATGTTACTGACTTTTTTTGTTAAAAGTATCTATTTAAGACAAGTGCCCAACTTAAGCTGGCTATAACCACAGATAATATGATCAGTTTTGCAAGCTTTTGCACAACTCTGACAGTGCACTTAACTTTGTTTAGAAACTTCATTTATTTTTGTTCATAGTCAGAAACTCTCAGTTGTGTTCAAATATGAAGTTGCCCTAGCATACAACTAATGAATTTATCACCTGTCGTATTTTTAGACTTGACATAATAAGGAGAACTCATGCAAAACATTTAGTTAAGGAAGTTACTCAAGAAAGCCACTTCATCGATCATATACAGAAGTAAAAGTGATGTTTTATTTTCTCCAAATTAATGAAGGAGACATATGAAGACAGGAAAAAAAACAAAAAAAAAAAAGAAGGGCTTCTTTTCTCTTTAAGTTCAGGAAGAGGAAGGAGTCAGAACCTGTGGAAGAGGGATGCTCTGTTTCAGAAGACCTTTCCCCTACTCCTTCAGCTTTTAGCAGCATAAATAGTCTGTGATAAACATTTTAAATGTAATATGCTATATTTAGCCCAGTCTTCATACTGGAGGGAGTCAGATGAACCTTTAGAAGTGCAAATTCATCAAAAGAACCTATCTTTTACCTTTAAGTTTAGGTGTGCAGACAGTGAATTGTTTTATTTACTTTACTGGTTGTAATATGAAAATTAAACCCCATTCCCTCCTGAAGTCCCCACTGATGTTGTTGCATTTCCTTTAATAGCTTTGCAGTAGAGCAAATGATTAGGATTTGGTGTATTGTTCAGCTGATGTGTATGCAATAATAGAATACAGCTTCCCATAGCCACACAGTCTCTGTAGAAGTAGCAGAAATAGAAAGCGGTATTGTTTTTAATTTGCATTACCAGAGTGCCTGTGAGCCTTAAGCAGACCAGCATCCCACAGGCTAGACACTGTACAAACACAGAACAAAAACAAAGACTTCCCACAGAGTGGTTACAATCCAAGTTAAGACAAAAGATTAAAAAAATACGGATGGCACAGCAAAAGGAGAGAGTCAATATTTGTCTAGCTGATTAGCAATGGTTTCAGCACATGATCAGTTTAAATATTGTCACTTTTTTCTCTTTATGCTTTACAGCAAGGGAAAATCGGAGGGTGAAATTTGCAGGCTGGATAATGAGGGAGCTTTTAAGGATCTCTATTCCTGACCAGCTCTGTGTGCCATCTAAACTCTGCCCATTTGATGTTGTTTAGTAGTCCCTCCTCCTTCAGAAGGGCATATAAGCTTTAAGCAGGTGTAGGTGGCTATTATGTTAAATAGTATCAGTCACCTTGAATTCTCTGGAGTCCTGGTCGTGTCTCCTAACAGTGATTTTGTGAATGTTTACTGGCCTCTTCTCCAAAACATGAGAGAATGGCCAAAGGTTTGTTTGAAAACTTAATATGCAAATAATTGAAGGTTGTGTGATAGACGCTAAGTGAATAGTGAGTAAGGGGTTCTGAATGACCCTTAAAGTAAAGACAAGGTGTGTACTCCCAATGAAGCTGTGAAGGGGAATCGATGAAGAAATGGCGTGGTCAAAATAATTTTTAAGGGTTCATCTTTGCAGTAGTATTTTGAATACGTAAGAGCAGTACAACTCTTTTTATCAAAGAGAGAAGAATGTTGCTGTCAACAGGTGATAATGACAGCGTACATGAGAGAATCAGCTATGTGAAGGGATAATTTTAGAAGGACTTACAGGAAACAGAGAAAGAATCAGAACAATTTAGAGGAGAGGACTCAAATCTGAGTTGAAGATAACAATCCTGCTTTTGCCTGCATTGAAAAACACAGTACTAAAGTGAAGAATAGGGAGGGATGTTTTAAATGTACTGACTTAAAGATAGGCTAGACCTCCACAACCTGATGTTCATAGGCAAAATAATTTTTTTTGCTTGAAAAGGAGTATGGCGTGGATTAGAGAAGCAGCTCCCCAGATTTTTCACATATAGGTGGTAGGTAAAATTTAATTTGTGGAATAAATTACCAATAGACATATTGCAGAGAGAAAAGAAAAAGGAATTGAGTCTAGATCTCTTGGACCCCTACAGAAAACTGAGGAAGCTGGAGGTTCTTCCAAAGCATCAGCTAAAAAACAACGAGGGAAGCTATGGAAATAAGCAAAGAAGGTTACGGGAATCAAATGAAGATGGCAGGATTTCAAAAAAAGCACAGTTGGCTTTGCTGAAGATGGCCCACAAGGCCAAATGAGGATAAAGTACCAGCTTTGAGGCAGGTTACGAAAACATGCTCGGGGACCGTGATCAAAGTGAGATTCTGGCTTCCTTGGAATGAAAGGAAAGCAGATACCAATTTGGAAGAGTATATGAAAAGAAAGAAACTGAGCTTAAAGATGAAGATAGGCAGCAGTTAGAAAAGCATGTTGGTTAAGTATATTTTGTCTTGATTTTTAAAGCCATGAGATATACTGTATTTATACTGTGTAACAAAAGAAATGAGGAGAATGAGACCTAAAGTGAAGATCGGGAGAGAGGAGCGAGTATGCATGAAGGAGATAAGCATACTCTCTGATAGTGGTACTATGAGAGAGTATGAAGAGTCAAATATCTGCTTTTGTGGAAAGACGTTTATCTTCTTCTCTTGGAAAAACTTGCTGTAGATTCAGAAAAATCATAGAATCACAGAAAAATTTAGGCCAGACGGGATTCTCTGGAAGTCTGTAGTCCAAAGTTAGATCAGTGGCTAGGGCCTTGTCAGGGCCTGTAGCACATGCAATAGTAATAAAGTCAGTAGATAGGAACATCACGCTCACAGGAAATAGGTATTTGAGATAAAAAGATTCTCATTATAACAACATAACTTTGGATGTTGTTGGGAAAGATAACATTAGTCATGAAGTACAAGGAACATGGCTTGCTTGCAATATTTCCAAGTTCTGGATCAGATGTGACTTGACAGTACATGTTTAGTAATCTTAGTCCAACATTTTACATTTTAAGTTTTTAAACCTGTTTCAAAATTACTTTGAATTTTTGAGTTTGTATATCTTATTATTTTGGAGGAACTAGCAAGCAAGAGAACTTCCCATGTTTCTCAAACAGACTGTCTATAGGATCGGTTCCCCTAACATTGTCTTCCTTAATTTCTTTCAGAGAATGTGTACACAAAAGCAATGCTCCTGTTCTAAGTACAGATTGCCAAGAGACTATTTTAAAAATCTGAATATATGTTACTGCCCTCTGGAAAATAATTACAAGCATGCTTATTTTACTTTGTTCCAGAAAATCTAAACCTTTGCATGAGGAATTAAGAACTGCTCTTGTGTTTTTCATCTGTTGCCCAGAACCAGGACATTTAAGAATTAGTAATTTTGCTTCTGCTAACGTCAAAGGAAAAACTCCTGCTGACCTCAGCTGAAGCAGGTTCAGGGCTTACCTATATTAAATGCATGTACTAGAAATGCTGTTTTTCCAACAGATGTATTTCATAGTTCTCTAAGTTTTACTCTAATAACTTATATTGTACAATTATAGATGTGAAAAATTGCAGCTAGAAAGACTTCAATTTAAGAGTCGTGACTGTGTGTATTCTGTTAATATTTCATGACTGGGGTGATTAACAGCTGTACATTGATAGATGACATTCTTTCCAGGACTAAGCAGGAACAGAGGACAAAAGATAGAATCAATCAGAGGTAGAAGCTCTGTTAAAACAGGTATTTCATGGAAATGGGCTTTTAAATTTGAAATCCACTATAGTTAGAAGATTTTTATCTCTTGCAGAAAATCCATAATGTTTTTTAGGTATAGTTCTTGAACACAAGCTATGATGTGTGCTATTTTTGACCAATAAGCTTCAATATGTTCCATTTTGGAAAAATTCCAGCTAAAATCCATTCTTTGCCTAATTTAAAACCAAGCTTCCTATCAGCAACTACAACATGTATTTAAGGGAACTAGACCTGTGACCATGTAAAATTATTTATGTAAAATGTGGATATCAACTGGGGAAAAAAAATGGGTTTCCACAACAACTTTTCTCTACCTTTGATGACTAATAAGTGAAGAACCATACAGTGCATGTGTGCACACACATGCACAAATCTCTTTGGTTTTTGCATTTGACCATCCTTTTATACTTTGCTTCACAGTCTACACAGTATGGTCAATTAAGCAACAGTTCTGCAAACCTCCAAACATGAGTGAATCTGCTTAAAGATTTGCAAGTTGGCTTTCAGATTAACATTCACTTCTCAGAAAGGGTAATGGAACTGGCATTGGGGGCAGGCATTGTGCATACTTGCATTTTTACATAGTACTCAACTTAATGATGAACCATCTGGATACAGTTAGAGTATGAAATAATTAATAACGGTATTCCATTAAGTTGCTACCCTGCTCGCCTTGATTTACTGCTGATGTTCCCAGCTCAGAAGATCATTCCATTAGTGAAATCAAAGCCCTGAGAAATATAATTTTTTACATTATGTACAGCAAAAGACCTTTTGCTATTGCACTGTTGAATATGACTTCTGATTTACAGATCTTGAATAACTGAAGCCTCAGTTTTTGGGGGGCAGGGGGAGGGAGGACTCTACAATCGAAACTAGATACAGTTAACTAGGTCACTAGTAGTCAAAATACTTTTTGTATGTTAAAAGAGACGAAATTGGAATGGAGTGAGTGCATGCTCTGTCTAGTGAATCTGAACAGAGGCTCACACACACAAGTTTTGAACTGTACGGTAGGTACTCATCTCCAAATCAATTGCACGGTTGCAGCTGCGGGGGCCTGAGCCCCAATGACACAGGTAGTCCGTTAGGTTTTATATATAGGCATACAAGTAAAAGCGATTCTGACTTTTTGAAAAGTACTGAACTTTCTCAAGCTCCTAGTGAAGTTAGTGGGGGTGGTAGCAGATCCATATTTGTAAAAATCAGCATATTTTTATATAAGTGTCTGAACAGAAGGATTGGTACCAGAAATAAAATTTTGGCTCATGTAATTTATACGTGTACTTGTTCCTTCCTAACTGTACAAGCCAATTTTGAAACTGAGCTTAGCAAGGCTCTATCAAAACACTTAAATTTTACAGCATCCTCATTGACACAATCCTTATTTAGTCCTCTTGGAGGGTTTGCTCTGATCAGAAAAATATGTGATTTTCTTAAACTTGCGTTTAATGAAATCATTTTAGTTCTTCACCTCCTTATTATAACCTTCCTTTGAGTGTCGCATGGCATTCTGCCTCTCAGTACAATTATATCAATGTGCTTAAACTCAGTATAACCAGGACAAACCATACGTACATGCCACATACTGTGTAGGTATTGTAAAATCTTTTTGTGTTACCTTCATAGAATCAGGTAATTTTCATGCCTGTGAACCTGATAACTACATATATGTCAAACCACGTACCGCACAAAAGTATCCACTTTTTTTTTTTTTTTGTGGTAAAGCAGGAAACTTACTTACATCCCTATTTTCTGGATTATTGTGCTCTTGTAATTGAGATTATGAAATACATATATCCTCTCTCTCTCTCTCTCTCTCTATATATATATATATTTATTGGAGTACATTCTGAGAAAAGGTTGAGTCACTACCAATAGTCCATAGCTTTTTGGTCCTATAATATTTTGACTACTCAGTCGTTTCGGGAGGGAGGGTTAAGCTCTCAAATTGAATGCTTGCATTTTTTCCACTGGCTTGCTTTTTCAAACATTTGTCATTAGGATCACAGCTGGGGCCTAGGTAACCATATTTCCAAATGATACCTTGCGAAGCTGCTTTTCTGTTTCCAGAATCACTGTACGGTTTCATAGTCCCATAAGCTTTCTTCCCCATGCTACATATTGAAGATTCTTAGTTGCTTTGTGTATGACAGATGGAAATAAATCCTATATGTAACTTAAATGCTGAGTCACTGTACTTCATTAAGCATGTGGACTGCAACCATCATTTTTAATTTGTGCTTATTAATGGCCAAAAATGTTACTTTCTCTTTCCAGTTGTTTAGTGGACCTTCAGGCCTTTTTTCTCTTGCAAGAGGGAAAAAACACTCTT